TTTAAAAAATTTTTGAGGTAATTTATATTTATTTGCCTGTTAATTTTGTTTTACAAATTTGTACAACATACTTGTTCTCTGTTTCTTGCAGAAAGTTGTAGAGAAGAATAAAGCCAGGGACCATTTCCCATTGTATGCCATTTGCTTGGGTTTTGAACTTTTAACAATGATTATCAGCGGAGTAAGCATCCCTTTCATTATCTTCCCTTTTTTCTTAATGTGGTTTAGGGTTTTAAGCTCTTTGTTATGTGTGTTTGAAAGAGATTACTCTTAGCCTCACATGGCTAAACATGACCAACTCCTGCCTGTTCACCTTGTTGTGGAAACTGCAGTATGTGATAGGTTAGGATTTCATGGCTACCTTCTTGGTGGCACCCAAATCAATAGTTGACCTTATTGGAAAGTATTTCATAATGGATTTGAAATCATCCTAATCTCATCTCATCACTTTCTTATCTTAGGCCCTGTGGGTAACTATATATTGTACATCTCTCTCATGCAATCACTTCGTTTTAAATTAGCTTAACTCTAGCCATGTCTACTTTGTCTGACAAACTATTTGTAGTTTGGGATTTTCTTTGCTAAATTATAAACACTTTAACAAAGTCTTAATTAATTTATTGAATACATCAACTTTTTTCTTCTTGATGATAGGACAAAAATATCCTTGAATCATTCAATGCAACAAATCAGGCATCTACTCTCCAATTTGTCGAAAACATTACTATCGAGGGAACAGTATTTCAAAGGTACAAAAAACTTTGCTTTTTATCATTCAAGGTCCATATAATATTGTTTTATTTTGGTGTCATTACGTTTTATGATATCAATGCTACACATTATATATGATTATCCTAACTGGGTTAAATTTTCGTGATTCCTTATATGTTTTGCTGGTAGTCATTAATTTGATGCTTAATAGAAACCTTCGAAACAGCATATGTGGTTAATGCTCAGTCTGAATGATCTCTCAATTTCATGTTAATGCTATGGGTCTGCCACTTTTGTCCTGGTTATGTTAGGTTCAGAATGTGAGACACATGGCAATAAGATGGTACCAGAACCACACAACTTTGTCTGAACCTTGCAGTCAAGCCCCGCAAACACAATTAACACTTTGTTAGGAAGAGAATAAATGTGTGCATCTTTAGGTGCCTGGTCAGTAACGTGAATCTGATTTGAGTATATCCTTCTCTGATAAATAACAATAGCTATAAATGCCAATAATAGCCTTTATATCTTGCTGGCTTTGCATTAGAGGGTTTTATGCATGTTGTTTGTGTATATGTTTATGATATTGAACCTTTCAACATTGGTGGATATGGTGATTTTCAGCCCATTGTTTGTTCTTTGGTACAAGTTGATTGCAATCACACTTGAATGACTAGAAGATAGGGATTGTTGCAAACTTTCCATTATAGCCCAACCTGACTGAGATCTATTTCGATGAGAGCTTATGGAATTTCTTATAGTCGGTGTAATTATATGTTAACATGTTAATCTCTCTTATCACAGCTTGATATTTACATTCTTTTTGCAGATTTCCTTCAGATTTGCTGGGAAAGCTAGGTACAGATCGACTAGCCATGCAAAACCATCGTGTGAGTTTCATGTCTACCTTGTATTGATTGTTTAAATTAGTCATACAATGTATTACTTTTAGTTTTTTCTTCTCTAACATGGCCTCTGTCGTTGACTCCTAAAAGCAAAAACTAATAATCTAGTATCTACATCCTAATTTTTTTGACGTTATCTAATCAATGTTTTCTTATTTGATCCTGTTGCCACTGGTTGTCAGCTTATGCATATTAGGATACATGAGAGATGAAATGGATTTTAAATTGTAACTTTGCAAACTAAATTGTTCATGCCTTCTGTTTTTAAAATCTTTATTTGATTTCCTTGAAAGAAAGAAATTGCTGGCTTTCAGGCAGGCCCACCTCTTTCTTGGTAGGTAAAATAGCAGAAAAACCAAAGGATGACATGTCCTTCAGGGAATAGCTATCTAAGGGTAGAGGCCAAGAAAGAAGAAAGATGCTAATACAATTTAGTGAGGGAAAAAGAAAGGAGCACAAGGACAAGCAATCGGACTTTAGTTGTTCAGCTTTAAAGATGATGAATTTCTATTGAAAAATGTTTGCATTGTTGAATGCGCATAAAGAGAATAAGCTATTTAGCAATGTCTAAGCCAATGTCTCGTTACGTTGTAACAGTGTGGCATTTCACCAGCGAGGCTTCAGAATAATCAAAATCTATCCAGCTTCTTCAAGATTTTAACAAGAAGCACTGATGAAAATAAAAAGGTACTGAACTTTACCATCAGTAACTGGTGTTTACTATGCCATGGGACATGCCTAACTTAATTTATCTCATTACCTTTTATGGTTGCTTTAAGAATCCTTATTTCTGTAAGAGTGTTAATAACAGGTCTACGTCTCCACTGCACAAGCGCATGATTATCCTGTCACTGCCTTCCAGTGGCATCCAGAGGTACTTGTTTTAATGTGCTTTCCGATCATCTTAATGTTTATGCCTCCCAAAATTCATGGTTTTCTGTTAGATATTTTACAATTACATGTTGCTTTGCCAGATGTTACTTCAATAGGAAGAGTTCTGATAAATGAATGAATCTGTTTCAAAATGAAATGATCTCTAATGTTCACACACTTGAGCACCAACCATGACTGCAGAAAACTAAAGTTTACTTCTACATTTTTGAAAAACTGTCAACAGCTTCCTATTAGACTTCCTTTCTTTATGCATGTTTGACACAACAATCCTCAATCACATGCTACAATAGTTGTTTCCACTGGATGCTTGACTCTTTCAGAAACCTCCTAACTTAGCTTACTAGGAATATTTCTCGTATTCTTTGAATTGGTGGAAATATGATTTTCTTGATCCCCGTCCCTTGTGGCAACCTTCCATTCCATGTAAATGGTTTTTATCCCATAGTAAAGAACAATAATAGCTGTCCAGTGGGAGCTCAAGCTGCCAGTTTTCCCCCTGAGAATCTCTTTTTGTTGCTTCCCAGATTTCCAAGGAAGTAAAATAATGAAAATGCATATATACTCAGTCTATACCATTTAGTACAGGAAGGGTCTCCCTAATTTGTTTGCTCATCAGTTATCCAAATCACATATTTGTTACTCATGGAAAACCGTCTGGGAGTTCTTGGAGACACAAAGACAAATTGGATTAAAATTTTTTTACAGATAAAGTACTATTCATTCCTTGCTTTTGATGAGTGCATGCATGTATTTGGTAAAGGAATGGATTCATGAAAAGCATACTACCATAATTCACATCTTTAAAATCTTTGAAAGGATGCAATCAGAGTAAGAATGGGTTTTTGGGGCATGCTTCTGTAGGGTACTTGGGATGTTTTATTCAGTATAATTGTTTTATTTCGACTTTTCCTTTAGGTGCAAATGCTGCAGTTGGTTTGAGTAATTTCTGCCATTTAATTTTGGCATGAGATTTAACTTCCACATAACTTTTCCTTTTTCTTCTTGTAACTTTTTTTTGTTTCTCCTCCTCATATTTCTCTTGGTCTGACTTTGTTTGCAAATTTATTGATGTATACTTTGACCCAGCAAGATTACTCCTGACCACATAAATTGCAGAAAAATGCTTTCGAATGGGGCTTGAAAATGATTCCACACTCAGAAGATGCCATTCAAGTGACACAACATGTTGCTAACTTTTTAATCAGGTGAGCAATGCGAAGAACGGGAGTTTTTAATAGTTTGTTCTCTATATTTATTCTTTCTATTCAGTTATCAGCAAATTGAATTTGTGACACCATGCATGGAGTGAAGCACAGGTGAACTTCAAATTTCAACGTTAAAGACTGCAAGTAACATTCTGGCCGAAAAAGAAATGTCAGTAGATTTTAGGAATGATGAAAGGAGAAGAAGTCATGGAGTGGTAAATGCAAATCTAAGAAGCTAAATCAAGTTTTGGTATTGAGTTATTATCATTTTTCTGGTGCAGTGAGGCTAGGAAGTCATTAAACAGGCCACCTGCTCGAAAAGTGCTTGATAACCTCATTTATAATTACAGCCCTATCTATTGTGGGAAGGCTGGGTAAGCTGACACTATCCTTTTGAGACGATTAACAGCTAGCTTCATATTTAAATGTTAAAGCTACCTACATGTTCCTTGTATTTGACTGCATGCAGGAAGGGGTACGATCAGGTCTACATCTTTACGCAGCCTCAACCTTTGCAATCAGGTCCACGTCTTTACACAGCCTCAACCTTAGCAAAATGTTCGTTGTCTCTGACTGCAGGAAGGGATACAATGAGGTCTACATCTTCACACAGCCTCAACCTTCAATATGTAAGGCTAAGACCGAAATCAATGACTAGAAAATATATATGTACATAAATTCAAGATGACATTTTCAAAGTATATATAAACATATATATATATATATATATATATTCTAAGATTGCTGCAAGCTTTGAACTTCTAGGATATTTGAATTAAGTTTCAAATATAGTATTTGTTAATTTGTTCTTTTACCATTCTCTACATAAAAACTTTACAAATCATCCTTTTTTTCCCATAATTATTTAACATTAAAAGAAATTATATATATTTTATATATTTTCATTACATAATATGTAATGGTGTCAATAAATCAAATGTGCATATGAATCATTCAAATTCGAAATTGTAAGTAGTTGAACTTAAATCACACAATTAATTTGTTTTTAAACATTTTAATACTATATATACAATAATATTTATTTATATATTATAAATTTTATTTGAATTATAAATTCGAAATCAAAATTAAATTGAATTCCGAAATTAAATCGAGTTAGGGTAGCTAGGCCCGTAGCCCGTAAGTTAGTCCTTTAACCGTCAGTACCAGAAATTCGTATTTTCACGCCAACAGTTAAAAGCTTCGTCCTTTTCTCCACCATACCAAACTTAAAAGGCTCCTTCCTTCCGTTTCCTTTCCTTTTCTTTTTTTTTTGGTCTCTCTATGTCACTTCCCGAAAATGCCCTCCCTGTTTCTCTCTAACCCCTCGTCGCCTCCTTCCTCCTCCGACCCTCCAAACGACGCCGTCGCGTCCCCTTCCCTTCCGCTTCTTCTTCCTCCTCCTCCGACATGTGGAATTTCCTTATTGTACCCATCCTCTTCTACCTCTCCAAAGACCTTGGCCTCGCTCAAGCTCAAACCTCCACTCCACTCCTTCTCCCGAGTCAGGGGAGACAACTCCTCCGCTGAAACACTGAGTTCCGATTCTAGTTGCACGACTCTTGACCCGAAGCTCTATTATCGGCCGGTGATCGGGATACTGAGTCATCCGGGGGACGGCGCGTCGGGAGGCTGAACAATGATACGAACGCGTCGTATATAGCGGCATCGTATGTGAAGTTCGTGGAAGCGGCTGGGGCTCGAGTGATCCCTCTTATTTATAATGAGCCTGAGGAGATTCTTTTCGAGGTAAACACTCTTGTATATGACCCTTTTCAAAAGAAAAAGAATGTTTATTTCAGCTGTACAAATGCTGAACTATGACTTAAGGTTTTTTGGGGTTTTAACTTTTAAGTTAAGTTTAAAAAAGTAGACACTTTGTCTTGGAAGATGAGCTAAGATTAATATATTTTTGGTAAATCTTATTTTTGGGTCACAACTTTTACTAATGGTAATAAATTTGCTAGATTAATAAATACTAATAATTTCTCTTGTTTTGGTTAATAAATTAGTTGGTTATGGCTCTTCATTTAGTGTTGGTTCTCTTGAATGATGTGCACTTTAGTTAATAATGGCAAATGCTAGTGAGTGTGCAAGGGCACTTGTTTATTTTTAGTGCATTTAATGTAGTGAAATGTGATTGATTTTCGACTTTATAAGTGCCCTTGGGGCATTCCTTAGCAACACCCTGTTACAATCTCTCATTGTCTTCCATTTTAGCAATGATATGGGTTGTGATTTTGTAAATGTGTCAGGATGGTGGCTTGCATTTTTGTGGATGTTCTTCTGGGTATATCGTTAAGGTTCTTAATATTTGAAAAGTTAATTCGATTCCCTTGTTGATTGCTATGCATTTGATTTTATTGCTTTGGTTTGCTATGATTAGACACTGGTATGATGCTACGATACCTGCTTTAGCAATCTTGTTGTCTTCCTTTCCTGGAAAAAATTGTCATCTTGCTAAGTCTCATCACTGTTTTATTACAGAAGCTTGAATTAGTCAATGGCGTGCTTTTTACAGGCGGGTGGGCTAAAGCTGGCTTGTACTATGAGATTGCTCAAAAAATTTTTAAGGTAATTTACATTTATTTGCCTGTTGATTTTTTCATTTTTAACAAAATTCAGATGAAATCAACACAAATATAGGCGAGAGATTGATTTTACCAAGTGAGGTTATTATTTCTCCATGTTAAATGTTTCTATTTCCATGCATTAATTACAGAGAAAAATAAATCAAGTTGCTTGTTCCCTCTACACATTAATTATATCACTCTAAGAATTCTTCACTTTATACAAAATATTCATTTCACTGTTTCTTGCAGAAAGTTCTAGAGAAGAATGATGCCGGAGACCATTTCCCATTGTATGCCATTTGCTTGGGTTTTGAACTTTTAACAATGATTATCAGCGAAGTAAGCATCCCTTTCATTATCTTACCTCTTTTTTTGCCTTTTTCCTTTTTTTTCTATTATAAAGGGACAAACAATTTACTCTTCCTAGGATTTTTATTATTTATAAGGATTTTCTTAATGGAGTTAACCTTGCTCCTATATGTTGTAATTGGTACTCTGTACTTATATTCATTCATTTATCATGGAAAAATGACAAAATAAGATGGTTTTTCTTTTTTATTTTAAGCACTTTGTTATGTGTGTTCGTGAGAGATTACTCTCAGCCTCTCATGTCTAAACAAGGCCAACTCCTGCCTGTTCACCTTATTGTGAAAACTGCAGTATTTAATCGGTTAGGATTTCATGTTTACCTACTTGGTGGCAACCAAATCAATGGTTGACCTTGTTGAGTATTTCATAATGGATTTGAAATCATCCGAATCTCATCTGATCACTTTATTATCATGGGCCCTATGGTTAACTATTTCTCTTTTATGCAATCACTTCATTGTAAATTAGCTTAATGCTAGCCATGTCTACTTTTTCAGACAAACTATTTTAGTTTGGGATTTTTTTTGTTAAATTGTAAACAATTTATCAAAGTCTTAATTTAATCAAGACATCAACTTTTTCTTCTTGATGATAGGACAGAAATATTCTTGAATCATTTAGTGCAGCAGATCAGGCATCCAGTCTCCAATTTGTGAAAAACATTAATATCGAAGGAACAGTATTTCAAAGGTACAAAAAAAATTTTATCATTCAAGGTCCATTCATATTGTTTTATTTTGGTGTCATTACTTTTTATGATATCAATGCTACATGTTATATATAATTATCCTAACTGGGTTAAATATTTGTGACTCCTAATGTCTTTTGCTGGTAGTCATTAGATGCTTAATAGGAAAGTTCAAAACAGTTAACCTGCGGATGCAATAAAGGCCAATGCGTTTGCATTGCTAAGAAGGCAAAGAGTTTAATTGTACATATGCGTTTAACACTCTGTCTGAATGGTCTAGCAAATTCATGTTAAGGCTATGGGCCTGCTGCTTTTGTCCTTGTTATGTTAGGCTTAGACTGTGAGACACATGGCAATAAGATGGTGCCAGTACCAGCCAATGCTGAAGCTTGTAGTCAAGCACCACTAGCACTATTAAAACCTTGTTAGGAAGAGAATAAATGTGTGCGTCTTTAGTTGCCTGGTTAGTAACGTTGAATCTGATGTCCGTAGCCTACTAGGCTAGTTTTGAAATAGATTTGAGTATATCCTTTTTTGAACTTCAGGTTCACACCTTTGATGAATAACAATAGCTATGAAAGCTAATAATAAACTTTTAAGTACTTATTGATAAATAACAATAGCTACAATAATATCCTGTTGTCTTTGCATTAGAGGGTTTTATGCTTGTTGTTGGTATATATGTTTATGATATTTAACCTTTCAATCATTGGGTGGATAACAGGTGGATTTCAGCCAATAATTTGTTATTTGGTACAAGTTAATTGCTATTACATTTTGAATGACTAAAAAGATAGGGAATGTCGCAAACTTTCTATTTTAGCCCAACCTGACTGAAATCTATTTTGATTAGAGCTTATGTAATTTCTTATAGTTGGTGTAATTATATGTTAATATGTTAATCTCTTTGATCACGGCTTTACAGCTCGATATTTACATTCTTTTTACAGATTTCCTCCAGATTTGCTGAAAAATCTAGGTACTGATTGCCTAGTCATGCAAAACCATCATGTGAGTTTCATGGCTCCTTTTTTTTTTTTATTGTTTAAATTAGTCATACAATGTATTATTTTTAGTTTTTTCTTCTCTAACATACCCTCCATGTTTAATTCCTAAAAGCGAAAACTAATAATCAAGCACCTACATTCAAATTTATTTTGATGTTTTCTAATCAATATTTTCTTATTTGATTCTGTTCACTGGTTGCCTGGTTTCCTCTAATTGGCAATTTTAACAGCTTTCTACTTGACTCTTATGCATATTAGGATATATGAGAGATGAAATGAATTTTAAATTATAACTTTACAAACTAATTTGTTCATGCCTTTTGTTTTCTTAATCTTTAATTTGATTTCCACAAAGGAAAAAATTTGCTGGGGTTTCAGGCATGTCCACCTCTTTCTTGGTAGGTAAAATAGCAGAAAAATCAAAGGACAAGATGCTCTTCAGGGAATAGCTAGCTAAGAGTATAGGCTTAAGAAAGAAGAAAGATGCTAATACAATTTAGAGAGGGAAAAAGAAAGGAGCACAAGGACAAGCAATGCGACTTTAGTTGTTCAGCTTTAAAGATAATGAATTTTGATTGAAAAATGGCTGCCATTGATGAATGCGCATAAAGAGAACCTCTGCCCCCCTCTCAACTGGCACAGTGTCAGTGTTATGCTTAGATCTACAAGCTAATTATCAACGTCTAAACCAATGTCTCGTTATGTTGTAACAGTATGGCATTTCACCCGAGAGATTTCAGAATAATCCAAATCTATCCAGCTTCTTCAAGATTTTAACAACAAGCACAGATGATAATAACGAGGTACTGAACTTTACTATCAGTAACTGGTGTTTACTATGCCATAGGACCTGCCTAACTTGATTTATCTCTTTACTTTTGATGGTTGCTTTAAGAATCCTTATTTCTGTAAAAGTGTTAATAACAGGTCTACGTCTCCACTGTACAAGCGCATGGTTATCCTGTCAGTGCCTTCCAGTGGCATCCAGAGGTACTTTTTTAATGTGCTTTCCAATCACCTAGCTTCATGTTTGTGCCTCCCAAAATTCATGGTTTTCTGTTAGATATTTTACCATTAAATGTTGCTTTGCTGGATGTAACTTCAAAGGAAAGAGGTCTGGTAAATGGATGAAATTTATTTCAAAAAGAACTTATCTCTAATGTTGACACACTTGCGTACAAACCATGACTGCTGAAAACTAAAGTTTACTTGTATATTTTTGAAAAGCCTGTCCAACAACTTCCTATGAGGCTTCCTTTCTTTATGTTTGTTTGACAGGTAAATACTCAATCAAAGATTACAATGGTTGTTTCCACTGGATGATTGACTCTTCCAGAAACCTCCTAAGTTCACTTAGTAGGAATATTTTTCGTTTTCTTTGAATTTATAGAAGTGATGATATTCTTTATCCCCCTCCCTTGTGGCAACCTTCTGTTTCATCTTAACGGTTTTTATCCCATACTAAAGAATATTAATAGCTGTCCAGTGTGAGCTCAAGCAACTAGTTTTCCCCTTGAGAGTCTCTTTTTGTTGCTTCCCTGATTTGCAGGGTAGTAAATAATGAAAATGCATATACTCGGTCAACTTTTCCTCATAGGAGCAAATGCTGCAGTTGGTTTGAGTAATTTCTGCCATTTACTCAATTTTGGCATGAGATTTTGACTTCCACATAATTTTTCTTGTAAAATAATAGTCAAATGTATGACCCATTATAAAGAATCGGTGTCTCCTTTTTCTTCTTATAACTTTTGTTGTTTCTCCTGCTCATGTTTCTCTTGGTCATTTGACTTTGTTTGCAAATTTATTGCTTTATACTTTGATCCAGCAATATTACTCCATTTCAAGCTGAATAGCCTGACCACATAACTTGCAGAAAAATGCTTTTGAATGGGGCTCAACAATGATTCCACACTCAGAAGATGCCATTCAAGTGACCCAACATGTTGCTAACTTTTTAATCAGGTTAGGAACGTTAACAACAGGAGAAATTAATAGTTTGTTCTCTATATTCTTTCAATGCACTGAGCAGTAAATTTAATATATGACTCGATGGAGTGAGGCATAATCTTGCACTTCACACACGTCATAGGGTGTTGTGTAATTTTGCCTATGTGGATATGCTCTGCTTCATGCTATGGTATACATAAGGAAGAAATATTAAAAGGAAAATTTGATGAAATTTAGTTTAATAAGGTATAAGAAGTAAATTGTTTATTATGAAAGAAAAAGAAAGAAAATGGGTGAACTGCAATTTTCAACGTGCAAGACTGCAAGTAATATTCTGGCCGAAAAAGAATATCCAGTGGTTTTTCGAATATAAGAATGATGGAAGGGAAAAAAGAAGTGTATTTCTAGGTTAGGTACAAACCAGCTGATTTAAATGATACCAAGCCATTGTGGAGTAGTTAATGCAAATCTAAGAAGCTAAATCAAGGTTTGGTAGTTAGTATTTTTTACTACTACTTGTAGTACTACATTATTTGTTTGCAATTGAGTTGTTATCATTTTTCTGGTGCAGTGAGGCTAGGAAGTCACTAAACAGGCCACCTGCTCGAAAAGTGCTTGATAACCTCATTTATAATTATAGCCCTACCTACTGTGGGAAGGCTGGGTAAGCTGACACTATCCTTATGAGACTATTAACAGCTTCATACTTAATTGTAAGGCTGCCAACATGTTCCTTGTATTTGACTGCAGGAAGGGATACGATGAGGTCTACATCTTTGCACAGCTTCAACCTCGAATTTGAAAGGGTTGCGCTGTTATCTGATGTTACAGATGTATGTTGTTCAGAAATATATATACATTATTCTCATGTAAATGTTTTGGGCCACCTGTTCTGAGTTCTGAATGTGAATGTTCCCTTCATGTCTTAATATTAAGCTGTGATCAGGAACAATCTTTTATCAGGCATGAAGGGATATTGAATTATTGTCATCAGGCAGCATATAACATATTCATAAGCTACATATACTGCTGCCACCTTATGTTTCAGTTTTCCTCTTCACTAAGTGAGGAAGTCTATACATTCAGTGGCTAATACACATGCTTTTGTATTTATTTATTTTATTATCCAAAAAAAGGGAAAAAAAAAAGAACAGAAAAGATAACTACAATCAAGAGGGAGGAGTAATAAAAAGACAGAAAATTCTACAAATCACATGTGTTCAAACAGTCCCACTAAGATGCTTAACCAAACACTTGAGAAAGTAAGAATGAGAAGTAAAATCCAATCTCTTACTATTTCTGTTAGTATTGGTGATTATATTTTTTTAGCAAGAATGAAAATATTATTATACATGTTACAGTAAATATGTTTATTTAAATAGGTACTTGAACATTTAATTCAATGATAGTGAATGCATTTTCTTTCATATTTGAATCTTTTACTAAATACCGTATAATTGGATATCTTGTATCATTCAAGATTAGGATAAGGTTTGGATAGTAAAACCATTACCTACCACGGGTTTGAATATATATATATATATATATATATATATAATATTTTTTGTTTGTAAATTTTTTATAATTAGTGTAATATTAAAAGTAATTAATTATTATAAATATGATTTTAAACTGAATTTATTTTTTGTGAATTAATTTTAATTTACTAATTCAATTTTCAGTAATACTATATGTAAAAATTGATTTTAAATTTATTTTAATTAAGTATTTAACTGAGTAGATAATACATAAGATATTAACATATAAGTTTGGATAATAATTTAAAAATTTAATCAGATATTTATAAGATTCGGATACCCTATCAAATAATCAAATTCGAATTAAGGTACTTCAAATATGGTATGGTAGGCACCCTTCCTTCCCACGATTTATAAAAGTTTATTTAGACATATTGATTAAGAAAAGAAATATTTAAAATGAAATTCCAAAAACTCTAATTTGAACCCAAAGAAGGTCCATTAACTAATAAAGCGGGTCCACCAGAAACAAGAGCCTACGCCCCATTAAAAATTTCACACTTAGCCCAAGGCTCACAATCCAAAGTCATGGGCCCATTGCAGCCAATTGGGTCCTTCATAGTCACGTGCAAACGCCAATATCACGTGCGAACAAGCACCATTCGTCCATTCCTATTCTCGTAGCCCTTTATATTCCCCGTACCCAAATGGAATGGCGGGAAAGTCTGTGTCCTTCGTAGAGGGAAAATCTCGCAAAGCTGACTTCAAAACCCTTCCCAAAGTAAGGAAAATGTCCCAAATTGAAACCCTAGGTATTCTCGAAGAGCTCCAAGCTCTCGTCTCCGATAAACTTCAAGTAGTAAGTTCTATTTATGTTGGATTTTATTTGAATTCAGATATTGACTTAATTCTTCGGATTTTATCTGGTTCCTGTTTATTTTTCTCTTTTTCTTCTGCTAATTTGAATTTTTGCTTTTATTTCATGGTCTTAATCTTCATGGGTTCTGTCCAATTTTCTTGCTTTTTACTTATTTTATTGATAAATTGATTTCTGGGTAGCGGCTAAAATGGAGCCTCTTTTTGATTACTTAGTAAACTAGAGGGATAATTTATTCCTTTCTACCCTCTTAATGTTTTATTTCTTTTTTTTTTATCAAAAATGAAATTTGCTATTTTTATAATGCAGTAATTCTCTTTCAAGGTGGAATTATGTAGTATAAAGGTTTTAGTAGAAAATTTTCAGCCTTTAGCAGGTTGAATGATGTTTTTGATAAAAATGATGTGAGAACAGGACAACAATTTGCCTGCCCTTGTATTATGGTCCTGATTTTTATGCTCAAAGAAAATTACTTTCCTTTCTGAGTTGTAAGCTAGAAATATCATTCAACGCTGGGACTTTGTATAAAGTTCTCATTGTTCAAAATGGTTTGTCTTTTCAGGTGTCCTACAAGTGGCTGAGTCGTAATTTTCTGGTGTCATCCAATGTAGCGAAAAGGTAAAAATTCCCTGCCAAGGATGTAGTTAAAGTTTGTTTTCATGTATATAGCCATGTGCACTCACATATGCATACAGAGATAATATATAACAGCTTACTTATAGTTGTACGCGTACTTAGATTGCTTGCTGAGTTTGTTGAGAAACATGGAAGTGAGTTAGAAGTTGTATATAGTTTGTCTGGCTGGTTGAAGAACACTCCATCAAACTATCATATACAGCTTGTGACAGGGCCTAAACTTGCAGGTTAGACTTTCCAGGGCAATTTCATCTTTACACTTATTTTTATACTTTGACAGTTGCGGGTATGTACAACTTTACATCTGTGCTTGTGTACAGCAGGCAGGACCGTTCTTGGGATGGATGACCTATGCATAATAGAATATTCATGGTAAATTAGATGGAAGTTCATTGATCTGTGGATCTCCATTGTATCTAGAATGCTAACTTGTAATATCTTTTATGAGAAATCTTTATTCAGTTGACTGACTGACATGTTTTTACTTTTTTTTAATTAAGACTCATAAAGGGGGATTTAAAATTGTACAATGGAAATTTAAATGCAATTATATAAAATGAATGAGATAGATTGCCTTTTCTATCTATTTTAACTTCCAAATTTTCAGTATTGCTGGAACAGCTTCCTCCATATCAGTTTCTTTTTACTTAGGAAGTTATCTTATGGGTTCTCATTTCTGGATTTTTCACTATAAGTTATTGAAATACATGCAATGCTCTCCAGTCTGTGCATTAAATTAACCCAACGACTTCTCCGTGTGAATAGACTTAATACAGCTGAGTACACTACTTTTTAAGATGTGTTGGGTGGTTTTGGGTATCTTATCTTTCTCTAACTGTTTTGCCATAATTGTATTTATGTTGTTTAGCTATTAAAAATAGGTAAAAGAGATTAATGGCAATTCACTTTCCTAACTTTCTTGCAGAAGCCAAGCAAGAATATGATGGCAATTGCAGAGTTCATGTGTACAGTGTGCAAGCTTGCATCCCAAAGGACCCAGCTGCGCTTTGGAATACTGAATTTATACAAGCTGAGGAGCTCTTCAAGCAGCCCACCACAGTGGATAATTGCTTGAGAGATAACAGGTATCCTTCTATAAAGTGATCATTGCAGCACAGGAACAGAAATAGATTTCATGTTGTGTTGGTGGGTCTTTCATAGTAAGGAAAAAAAAGGCCTTTTCTTTTCTGTGGTTGGGGGGCTGGGCTCAAGATATAAGTCAGCTTATTCTCTGAATAAACTCTTGCTGGAATTTCACTTGCTAGTTTCTTAATCGGATAAACATATAGAAAACTATATGAGTAACGTGTACATCTCCTCAATGTTTTCATCAGGTTCTGTGGGATTTTAACTTCATTTGTCAAACGCATTGTCAATGGAACTTCCGTAAGGGTTGCAGCTGCACAGCCAAATAGTGTAGGAATCTCAGGACCGCCCAAACATAATTCTGCTCAAAACAATGCAGCTTTACCATCTCAACAAAATAAAGTTCAGCAATCAAGCTTAAAAGTTGCTCACCAGCCTCCCAGTGTGGTAAAAGATGTCAAAAGCGACAGTACTGACATAGGAGTCCATGATCTGGCCAGCAAGCCTTCTTCTGATAAAGAAAAAATTTCTTCCTTGTCTTCTAATAAAAAGAAAGGCCAGAATGATAAAAGCTCCACTGCAAGTGGAGGATCATTAGCAAATTTATGGGGTCGTGCATCTACCAAACCGAAGCCTAGTTGTGTGCTGGCAGATGATAGTGATTCCATCCAAAATTGCAATGGTTTGTTTCTATTTGATTTGTTTCTAGAGTTACCTTGGTATATGAAGTTTTTTTATATAAATTGGAAAGTGAACTTATATTCAACAAATCTAGGGTTCACATTACTTAGGTGGTTCTGATATTTGATTTTTTTCATTTCTACAACATGGTTTTCATATTCTTAGCTGACTTTTTTTCTTGTTTCTATAATTTCTTTTTCATTATTAGTTAGTGCAGATGCACAAATTTGTGCTCGTGAAGGAGTAGAGGATGAGAACAGTGACGATGATGCTCAAGATGTTAATTTTAGGAGAGCTTCTAATGGTGAAGGCAATAGAAAACGGAGGGTAGTTTTTGATTTCTCAGATGAAGACGAGTATGAAGATGCTGTCAATCTAGCTTCACCTGATCCCCCTAAAGGGAAATCATCTTTTGATTCTGAACAAAATTCTAAAACTTTGGTTCCAAAGATACCCAATTTGATTGTAGACGAGCCAAACAAAGATGAAGTAAAGGTCAAGGAAGAGAAAACTAATAATAGAGAACCCAAAAGCACAAGCAAAAGCACAATTGGTGGACATTCCTCTTCAGTTAAGGTTGAAAACCAGCTTCCTGAAACTGATGTGAAGGATAAAGTGATTGATGGCGCTCCAAATTCACCTAAAAGGAGAAAAGTGATGAAGACACGAATTGATGACCGAGGAAGAGAAGGTAAATCCAATGCCTAGCCTCTCTCTAAGAGTGCTTTGTTTTCTTTGTCAGTGCATCATCCAATTTTGAAAATTTTGTCACCTGCTCTTTCTTACTTCAATTGGGATTTGAAATACTGAAAACAAAGTTCATTCTTGGTCTATATTTACTTTTTAATCTGTCATCGTGCAACATTTCTTACTTCATGCTGAAGGTTTGCTCTTGTGAAATTCCTTCAATGCCTACAGTTTTACTCATCCAATTAATTTTTTTATGGATGCCCCAAATTTAAACTTGACCACTGGAAACCTATAATTGAATGTTTTTGGCCATCTTGCTTTCTATGAGACATGTGGACATTGGTGTTTGTGCATATGCATCTTTCATGCACTAAATTGGAGCAAACAGTGTTCATAGTGCTAAATTCAACAGATTCTATCTTCTCGTATTAATATTTTTCTCCCATTTTGTTAATATTAGTAACTGAGGTAGTCTGGGAAGGTGAGGAGACAGAGGTGAAGAAAGTTGAAAGTGATATGCCAAAGCAAGTTGGAAGTGGAACACCCAATGCTGACACCAATACTGTCACAAGTACTAACAGGTTAATGCTATTTTCTCTTCATTGTTTTTTGCTAGTTCTCATTTTTCCCAGAAAAAGTGCACTTTCACAATTGCTTATCATGTCTAACGAAACACTCGCTTGTCTGAAAAATGGCCAGCTGTTTGGTTTATTTGTTTTTGCCTTCTAATAAACACTCTGTATAGTTGTACTGGTTCCTGTGTCTGGAAAATGATTCCAGGATACCTAATTCTCTGCTGCTGCACTCAGGAAAAGGACAAAAATAAAAATTATAAGTAAAAATTTATCTCTTATAAAATCCCCCTAAATGAGAGAAAAATAAATGCCTTCTTTATTCTTGTATAATGTGCTCTCTTTGTCATTATAATATTAGTACATTCTGCTTTTGATTTTCATGGTAATTCAGTTGGCATCGCAGTCTTTTGAAACTCAGCATGCCAAAATATGAATTATTTTTTTTTTCAGGATTCTGACTTTGGATAACCCATTACCTGTATAACCTCTCCTTCTTCTCTCTCTTTCCTCCTGCCAGGCATGAGTAAAACTAAAGCCCAACGGGTACTTGCTAAAATACTAGGTCCTATGAGGGAGGGTTAACAATTGTCGCCAGAATAACAAAGAGCACAGTAGGGCTGAGTGGGATTTGTGTTGCATTTTTAACTTTTAAGGATATTTATAGTTAACACACATCTTGAATTGGATGGTAATCCTGTAAAATTGTGTACCCTAACTGTAAGGAGGGAAGAAAAGAGAGAGAGAAAGGGAGAAGTTGTATATAGCTCCTTACTGCAATGATATAAATATTTTGGGTGCTTGTGTTTCATGCCTTCAAGCTATTGCAACATTGATAGGTTTCTAAGCTATGCGCACGTCACTGAGGCCAATGTTTGTGCCAATTATTTAGATCTTTTATTTTAATTTTTCTGTTTTAGTAGAAAATTAGTAGCTAGGGCATTGGTGCCTTCTAACTATTTGATTTGTTGATGCAGGCCTCCCGCAGCCAAGAAGTCTCCTGCACTTGGAAACACTGCACCATCTAATCCAGGAGGCAAAGCTGGAAACAAGAAAGCTGGAAATGCAAAGGATCCTAAGCAAGGGAACATTCTATCGTTCTTCAAAAGGGTTTGATCAGATTGATGCCGAGCGGCTTTGCTTTTTCTTCCCATTCTGTATGAGCTTTGCAGTAATGAAAGGTTGCTTTAACAGACATCAGTATATGTTCATGTATATTCTCATGGATTTTTATGAAGTTATATTTCTCAATCTGCATCTTCATCTGCTAGTTATGAGAATTTACCGAGGCTGCTCAAGTAATCTGCTAGTTTCAAAAGGGAATCTTTCGAGTTCAATTCATCAAACTTTAGAATCACCAGGTGAGATGCAGAGCTTGGAGTCTGCACCTCCAGCAATGCTCCAGGATGAGATATTATGCCAATGCATCAACTCAGTTATTTTACTTTTACTTTGGAAAACCAGAATCGAATTGGTTTTGTATGCTATCTGCTTGGCTTTGGGTAAAATAATTCAGTCAACAGCTATTCTATATATATATATAGAATCTTCAAGTTCGGACAAGGATCAAAGTTCAAACAACAATTATCGCCACATAACAGCCTGACAAATAACCTTTGCCTAGAAGCTCAGAGAAAAACTGAGACAACTTACCAAATTCAAAACCAATGTTTTATGCCCTGGATCGATTCATCAAAGAAACTTACAGCAACCTAGTGAATGTCCGTGGTCAAACATAGAAGTTAAAAAAAAAAGGCATAAAAGCAGGGGACTGAGTTGATCAAGTGTTTCCAAAGAACATGAGAGAATAATATACATGATTTACATTCATTCTTGCATACACAGCACTCAGAATTCTCTCTATTTTCAACTATCTCGGATTAAGTTGGTCGGCTCACTCAAAACATACTTTGGTAGTTCATACTTAGCACCTGCAAACAAGAGTTCGTATAAAGCATGTTAGCAGGAATTTCTCAAGCCAGAGAAAGCAACACTTTCTAAGTTAAATTATTTGCAATAAATTATTGGAAATACACCATTCCATACTAGATAGCACCAGTTTTAGTTCTAAATTTGTTAGAAATTCAGTGGCATCAACATCACCCTACTAAAAACTTGTGTGTTTGGTTTTAAAAAACATTTTTCATTCTCTATTTTCGAATTTATTGAGCATGTGTTTTATAAATCAAAATGAAAAACTATTTCTAAACAAAAAAACAGTGATTACGTATTTGGAATTGTATTTTGTCAATATGTATTATATAACTGCTATTAATGTTCTCAATATGTATCATATACATATACATTATTGAGTAAAGATCAACTTAATTTAATATACACAAATATTCAATTTAAGACAAATAATATATAATTAAATGTTACAATTTTACCTAAATCTTTTGTTTAATTTTCCATCCGCCTAGCACTTGAATGTACTTGATCAGACAAAGCAAATATATACCTTGAAATTAGAAAGATAAAACAAAATGAAAACATAAAAAGCTTATATTTTCTTAAACCAAACAGAGTCCTAATTATTTCCTGGGAGGTTGAATCTTGGCGCTATTTAAAGGAGGCTAAAATAGTCATCAAAATCTGATGCAGCAAAATTTTTACCTCGTTCATCATAGCAGATGGTTAAATCAGCATTTTGCACTATGACCCCAGCACTGTCCACGATAGCTTGAGCAAGGGTTAGATCAGCTTCAGCAGCAGCTCGAAGTGCATCCCAAATCTCTAGTGTCCAGGAAGTTGGCGTACATTTCGGGTCCATGCAAAAGATAACCAATTTATTTTCATTTATGCAGAGTCAAAGGAAAAAGTTATATTGGAAGTAGAAGGCTATCAAGAAAACCATAGTTGTTCAATTTACTTTCAATCATTTACTTCTAAAGTTCTACTCTACAGTCAAACTAGATTGCACTTATACAATGTAATAGATTTCTTGTCGAGACCAGATTTCTATATCATAGACAAAAAATGGGTTTGTATACCACCTCAAGTTAGAAATATAATCTTCACTCTTCAAAAAAAAAAAAAAAGTTAGAAATATAATCTTCAACTGAATCTTTGATGCAGAACCACCTTGGTGATATATTTGGAACTTGGAATTATGTTGAAGTTTTATGCCTTGTATTTATATAATTTGGTAGGTTTTTTTTCATTCAGCTTTGAGTTTCTGAGACTTGAGTATTGAGGTCTCCCCCTTGGTGCTCTCTTTTCCTTCCCCCATTTCTTCTAATACTAAGTTCCTCTGGTTCTTTTTCCTGTTTGATATTCATGTAATTTCTATTTCTTTCTTTCTCAGCCTTGGTTCATCTTACAACCATATTACTATTCAGTAGTCAAATTTTAAAATACCAACTACTGGCACTAAGTATTGAGAGCTTGTATGCTTAATCTAGTGATTTGCAAAAATCATTGTAGGCTTTAAGTGAGATGTGATTTTAATTAAAATAAGTGTAGCTAAAATGGCAATTCTCCTAAATCATGTGTCATAAAACAGTGATCATCTTTTACTCAGTACAACTTGGCCTGTCTTTGTAATTAAGTGGGGTTAAATACTGTTATTAAAACTCCTAAATATCAATGTTTAATTTGACAGTCAAGTCCGTGGAGAACCTTCTGATGAAACCTTTAGTTCTCATTAGTAACTTTACTCTGGTCTATCAAACATTAAATCTAAGTTATCAGCAATGTGTATGTCAGCCATCTCAGAATTCAAGTTGTGGGTCGACTGTTGACGAGTTTTAAGGCTGATCTAAATATCACATTGTAAAAAAATTAAACCTAAAGCCATCCTGTTAGCAATGTCCATAGTTCTCATCATTCACAAGAAGATTGCTAAGGGGAACCTAAAGCCAACTCAACATTCAGGCCTCTGTCAGTTTTTCTTTTCTTTTCTTTTTGGGCTATAAAACTTTAAATTACTCTGATCAGTGAAAGAGTTGGGCTGGCTAGTTTACACTTACCATTTTCAGTTAATCTGTGTGCATGCTTATGTAATTTACACACATAATCCAGGATTTTAATTTTATATCGTACAGGGGATGTGGAACTTAACTAATTAACATGAAAATACCTTCCTACATGAATCTGAGTATCCAAGAACAACATTTCGTTTTTATAGTTCTAGGTCTAACTTCAGAACCAACCAAAATTTGCAATAGATCAACTCAGTCTGATTCAGTTTTCCATAAAAAAAGGATTCACCACATAACTAGGTCTGCATATTGGTGGTGTTAGCTGCCATTGTTAGACTAACTCACAGAGAGAAGAAACGGTTTTTATACGGCCAACTCAAGATCAACAAAATTTCTTCTCACAAACGAAATTGGGAACATCTACATGCAAATATTCACAATCTTATCCATGTTAACCTAACAGTTGATTTAGATTAACAAAGTCTTTGGTGATTATAAGTCATAGGTAACTACCTTTCCTGCCACCATAATGAGGAGCAGTGTCCCAAAACTCTTCACGCATCTGCACAAGTTGAGACTTTGTAATTGGCTGAGGGTGTTTCCAGGGTTTTGGCTTCCTGATCTTTTTCACATTCCCTGTTGAAGCCAAAAAAGTTAACCGTATTACTTTTTAACTTTAGTACATATAATATTCGACTGTGAATCTAAAAGCAAGAGTTCATACTGCACTTTTACCATAAGGAGTTAGTTAGCACAAGGTGAAAAGAAACCAACAACCCAAATACTCAAATACTACCTCTTTTGAAGATAGCAGGCTTGGAGCTCAAACTTCACGGTATTATAAAGAAAATGTCATATATGAATGGTGCTAAGATCCATTAAAATACCCAGTACATGGATGAATTTATAGCCGATTTCATGCGACCAAGGGATTAGTCCTTTTGTTTTCATTAAATTTCAACACAAAAGCATATAAGTAAATAAATATTGTAGCAGCCCCTATAATGCCATTTTTCTTCATTGAAAAGTAAATCAACAAAAAGGTTCAAAAGCAAATGAGTACTAATTGCAGGTTCATATCTAAATATTCAAATCCTCATCCTAAATTTAGCAAATCCTTTTCAACTGACCAGCCACTTATTTATTTATTTATTTTTTTTGACAATTCGTCAAAGAAGAACAATATAATCACATAATTGTATAACGAAAAATGCTGATAATCTCTAACATTCAACGCAATAAAAAACAAAATAAAAATTGGACCAACAATTAAAAAAATAAATAAATGAAATTCAAGCGGCTGCCTTTCAGTTGCTTAGAAGATATGGGAAACTTTTGCTAGTCAATCTACCATTTGACTATCTTAGCTCAAAGTTTTTTCTCAAGCTGAAACAATTCAAATATGTTGTCATTGTTCTAAAAGCTTCCAATTTTCCCTACGATTTTCCCGGGAACCAAACAGAAATTCCGCAAACAGAGGAAGAGAAAAGACTAAAGTAAAAAGCCTGACCGTCTCCCTTGGCCGGCGTCGATCCAGCACAGCCCATTCTGCTTATCTTCTAAAGCCCAAAAGCTCACAATTTTCAAAGCCCAAAGAAAACAGGGGAAAAACAAAAAAGCTTGCCTCTTTTATATATTTTCAGAACAAAACTCTCGTAGCGTTGTTCATTGAGATTGAAGTCAAAGCTTCTTTAAAGAAGAGAGGGAGAAGGCGATGGAAACGTTTCTCCGGTGAAAAAGGCCCCCTGCAGTTTTTCCGGTGAGTTAAATTAAATTATGAAAGGAAAAAAGAACGGAGGAAACTGATGATTTGATGATGATTGGGTAACTAAATAAATAAATACAATATAATATAATAATGTAAATAATAAGAGAGAAATCGTGAATCGATTGTGATTGGTGGTTGGCTGTCATGTTCCTTGTTCGTGAGTTTCTTTATTCATTTTTCTAACCTTTTCCTTTTTCGGGGTGGGGAGGACTTCCAATAATTTATCCTACATTTTCGAAAACTTTACATTTATCCTTATAACTTTAATGACTCTACCAATTAAGCCCTTGAGAATCTTATCATTAAATATCTTACATTATCCGATATTTTATAATCGAGTTCGAGTAATAATTAAGTCTTTGAGAGTTTACTATTTGAGTCTTCAATTCGGATTTCTCAATGTTCAAATATTGAGAAGTGAAATTTTTAATTTTTTAAAAGTCAAATTAGTGTGTAAAGAAATCGAATCTAATATCTAAATATTTTCATGAGTAATTTGTTAATTATTTTTAATCTAAAATTTCACTGAATTATTGTTTATTTATATCAAATATGAGTTTCGAGTTCATCCTCTTAAGATTCAAATTTTAGTATACATTTCTAAATTAAAATGTTTAATTTTTTAAAAATTTATTTGGGGTTAGGAATTGGGATTAGTCTTGAAACTTTTATTCTTGTTGAGTCAGGATCTCAATTTTTATTTAATTTGATTCTTAAATATAAATTTCTTTAGAATATATTAATAAATATTTTAAAATGATGAAATTCTTTATTCATTCATGCGATCACGTATGCTATTTGCTTGATTATATAATTTAAATTTTTAAAAGTTTTCAATATCTTTCAAAAAAATATATAAATAATTTTAATAAAATATTATATTACCTTGAGATTGAAATTCAAAATCCTCACTTGACCATATGGGAATTCACAACACGTGTAACCTCGTATAAAAGTTTACAAATGTAGCTTTTTTAATTTCTAATGCAGATCAATAGGACTTAATTGTGAGGTTTTAAATTATAGAAACGAAATTGGTATTTACACAAACCTTGAGGGACAGAATGGGTCTATGGAATCTTTATGATACGGCAACGTTAATTGACTTGTGAGAAATTGCCATGTCAGCATTGGGTGAAGATCGGGACCTTCTGTAGGACCCACTTTTTAAATGTCCTATTATTGAAGATAATTGGGCCCGCCATTTGCGGCTTCGGGCAAATCTATTGGTCTCGGGAGTGTGACGACATTTCCGTTCATGATTATGAAACTGATATTTTCTTTTTCTTTTTCTTTTTTATGGAATTTCCATATTTTCCTATTTATTCAAATAATAGATTTAATCCTTAACTGACCAATGACCTAAATGCTGAAACATAGTATTTTGGAATTACTTTTAAAATTTTAATTTATAATTAATCATTAAAAAATCTCAAAAAAGATGATAAATTTAAACTTCAAAACTTAATCCTTAAAAAATAACTATAATTAGACCAAACTTTACTTGTAACTATAAGATTAATTTGAGGGAATAACCTTTCCCAATGTCAACAAAGATTGTAATTTATTGAATTATACATTGAATCTCTCTCTCTTTAATTGTTTTGGTTATCAAAACAAACCTACTTAAACCCCAAGAGGTTTTTCTGGTGAAGGCTTTACTAGTGTGCAAAGCTGTTGTTAATGCCTTGTAGTGGAGTGGGATTGTTGATTCCGCTGCAGCCACTTAGGCTCCAAAAAGCCTCCAAGACCCTCAATAATTATAAAAGCTCAATTCACTCTACAGGAGTTGGATTGCTGTTTGTCGTAAAATTATTGGTAATGCATTTTAAGAATACTTTGGCAAGCTAAATTGATTTTTGCTTCTGCAGGGTTGACTGCATTGACACAAAAACAAGTCCACACAACATATATCATCCGCATAGTAATGATGACTTTCTTAACAGCTTTGCTTTCAACATATCATCAGTTTTCTCTCAAATGCCATAGCAAGTTGACACAATGCTGCATATTAATCGGTTATGCAGGGATTGTAGAACCTTACATATGTTACAGCATCTGGCCAAGAAATAACCTGTGCTAAGTCGCTATTCTCATACTTGAAAGGTACAAATTCCTGCTAATACATATCCGATTCCGTTACAGACTAGCTTAAAAAGAAATATGGTGATCCAAATTCAAGATGGATAGTGTAGACTCAAGAAAGGAGGGTGAAAATCAGTAGCTGGACAAGCTTGTCATCAATAGTTGTAATTAGTTCAGAAACGGAATGAATCACTGGATCCATACTTGCTCCTCATATTGTAATGGTCAAACTTTGAGTTATCATAGTCCACTGGCTTGCTCTCCACAGGTTTTTGATCTGTCCCAGATGTTCCAAAAACCACCTCTCCTGTTTTATCACGTTGGCGATGTCTCAGTCTTTCCTTCTGGGTCTTAGACCTGCTGTAAGGAGGAACCTCACCTAACCCATAGAATTCTGCAAATTCTTGTCGTTTGGAGGAACGATGCTTGCTGGACAAAGAAGGATCCTTGAAGCTGCTTGATTTTATTACCTTCGAAGGCTTCATCTCTGAATGCTTATCACTTGTATTAGTTGTATGTGTCTGCCGGGTTCCAGACACCGGAGCTGGAGTGGTCTGCCTTTGAACTAACGGAGGTGGGGCTTCATCTTCAGGCTTCCTAAGAGAATCCTTCATTGGTGTAAGACCTTTCTTGGAGCCACTTGATCGGAAACGAGAGGGAACAAAATAAAGGAACATTGTGGCCATTGCTTCGAGTGCAAGCTTGGATAGATCCATGACAAGCTGGCCAAAAGATGGCCACCCGGGTTCCTCTTTCACACTTTCCACAATAGGAGTGGGCTTCTGCTTGCTTGGTTGTTCTTTGAATTCACTCTCTGAAGGTTGCTGCTGCAACAGTTTCCGCATCAGATGAAGCCAATAGAGCAACAATGCATGAAAAAAAATTATTTTGGGGCAACAAAGTATAAGATGCTTTGGCCTCCCAAGACCATTATAAAGGAAATCAACAACAACAACACTGAGATAGATATAGCAATGAGGCAGACATGGTGCTTGTTAGCACACTTCCCTACAAAGACAACTTGAAGCCACAACTACAACAGCAGCAGAGCTTATTGGTACATGTGCGAGAAAATTGATATCGAATATATCTTCGCAGCAAGGGTGGCAGAGTAATTTAAAGTTCATGAGACTGAATTTGCTCACCAAAAAGAGATGAAAAATAAATAACAGTCAGAGGGCTGTCAAGGTTGTTATAATTGTCATGTTACATTGTTGAGATGAAAAGTAAGAGTTATACCATTCTCGGGAAGAAAGAAGATCCAAATCCCTGCTGAAGCAAGCATGTAGCATATCCAACGAAGACTGCACCAACAACCATCAGGATATCTGTGAAAAGGCCAAAGTGTGAAAGTCAGCAAGTACTTTAACGTAACAAGAGTACAGATGCACAATTGTTAATGTCAAAATTATCAAGATAACCACTTGTTCAAAAGGACTCATTTCATGCTGGCTAAAAGCCTGTATTACAAATATTAATAAGGTAGCTATGATTTACTTCAACTGTCACACTTATCACTATTAAGTTATCCTGAGTAACATGGCTGTCCCAGCCCAGATTATGGGCAACAATATTCCTACTTTAAGGACCAGACTTGTTCCCTGTTTTATCAACTTTGGAGTTCCGCTAGAAATCTTCCTGGATGGTTTGATTCTTTTATTCTCAGAGGTAGGCTTATATGTGGTCATCTTGATGATATAATTCATTCATCAAAATGAAAAAACAATAGATTGGTTATAGTGTTGCTCAAGAGAGTAAACTAATATCCAACCAATAAGAAAATTAATTTCTCAAATAATCAGATTGGTGTTTTTCTTTAGCAGGGGGGGGGAGGGCTCAGTACTGTAACAGTAAATTGACTATGCAACAAGAAGAATTGAAGGTAAATATGGCTATGCACATTGTGATGCATATAGATAGGAGTACAACCTGTGGGAGAAACAGAACTATACTGATAATCACAATCGTCTTGATTGAGGGAGATTTGCCGAAGGGCAGCATTTCCTCTATCAATAACTAACAAGGAACAGGTGGGCTGAACATATACTACATCAAAATCATTTGAGAACTTTGCATCCTCACTGGGTCCATCCCTATATCCTGCAACATTTGATTTTCCTCCAGCAATAGTTGTGACACCTGCAAATAATTACCAGACTCAACATCCTTTTCCCTAAGAAATTAATCTACGATAGGGGCTGACAACTTCAATGAAGATACATTATTTTTCCCCATAAAGAAAGCAAAAATAAAGGATTTCAATCGACACAGCTTCAATAGTTCTGATATATCACTACAGTAGAGTCATTTCATTATTTAACGCTGTTTAACATCTGCATAGATGGATGGCTTTTATTTGAATTTTTATCAATTAACAAATTTTATGAAGACAATTCAACCTCAGTTTTAAGTTTATTTTTTTCAGTTAAATATATTCTTCATCATTATCTGCATATACCTGCATCTCCTATCTTTCTGATAGCAAGATTCATGGTATCAGCAACATACACATTTCCTTTATCATCCATGGTTACACCTTTGGGATGATTGAAACGAGCATCACTTGGCTTTCCATCCACATGCCCTGTGTAACCCTGAAATGACCCAGCAACCAATCTTCCCCGGCTATCTGCAACAATCAGTAATCATAAAAAATAACACAAAGCACACATTTATCACCAAATTAATAAATCAAAACAAATAATTCTGACAAACCCATAGCATAAAACGCTCCTATTTGATTCACTAAATAAACAGCATAAAAAAATAGAGAAAAATAAACATTTATAATTCTCATATTCACAGAGAAAAAAAAAATTCTCTCATTCAAAAAGATTGAACACATACATTGAGATAATGGTGGAGTAATCTTAACAATGTTACTATTAACTTCATCAACAGCAAATAATTCGCCATCCTCAGATACGCGAATTTTGTAAGGAACAACTCCAATCTCATTGCCTTCAACCACAGTCTCAACTAAGTATCCATTCTCAAATTGAAGAACATTGCCATCTGTAAAAGAAAAAAAGGAAACCCATTAAAATATTAAAATTCATACAACATACAGAATCAAACATTAGAAAAAAAATCATATTTTTACCTGATTGGGGGGTTTTGGTAGAAGACCTGGTCCATTTAAGTAAAGAAGAGAAGTGCTTTATCAATGGCCCTAAGTAAATCACATTACATTTGAGTAAAGCATTAGAACCAGCAAATAAGACCCAGAAAAAGGGTTTAACTAAAAACAATAAGAAACCCCATTTGAGCAAATTATAGATCAAAAGAACTAACAGCCAACAGCTTTACACCAACATGTGCAAAAGATGAAATAAAAGAAGCAGAGAAAAAAAAAATGTAGCATTAACGGAAAGCAGAAACAAGTAAACAGAAAAAATTAAATTAAAAAAACACCCATTAACCAAAAAGATGAATAGAATCTAAGATCATCAAAAAAAATTAAGAAAAACAAAAGAAAAGGGTACCAGTAGGGGCAGCATGAGCTTGGAAATGAAGGGTGTAAGGAACTAAAAGAAGTATTAGTGTGAAAAAGAGATGGGATTCTCTCATTTTCCTCTAACTAAGCTTAGGAAGCTAGTTCTTCTCCTACGGCCAGTAAGGAGAGAGAGTGAGAGAGAGAGAAAAGGGCAAGAGAGAGAGAAATTTTGGGGCGTTAAAGGTAAAGTAAAAGGTTAAAGTAACATTGTATTTTTGTTGAACTTTTTAAAGAGCTTTTGAGGGAGAGAACAAAGTGTACTTTAAACAAAAATCTTCAAGTTTTGCAGTCCCAAGTTAGCAGCATTTGTCTACTATTTGGATTGGGATATCATTCAGGTGCTTTCAAAATGGATTTTTTATAAGTTAAGTGTCAGATTCTGCCTCAAAAGATTTCTTTTTTATTGATTAGAAATACTGAAGTAGAATTTATCCACAGTGGGTGTAACTGACAACTTAATCATGCTTAGAGTTTTAGATTGCCAGAACAGAGTGCAAAACACACAAAAGTAAGTTGGTATAAAATCATATTTATTAAAAGGTCATAACTATGTTCACCTACACCCATTCAATTGCTTTGGGTGAATCGGGTCCAATGCAAAGGACAAAGTAACAACTAGTCGACTATGATCTCAATTGGGATTATTGGTAGGGGTTCGGTTACAACTTTTAAAAGTTATTTGTGAGTTCACTTTCTAATTTATTAGGTTAAATAAAAAAACAAATATCTATTAATACTTTATTATCTCAAGCTGAACCTATACCTAAAAAATAATCCTATTCAGCACTAATCTCGTGAATCTGAGGGACAGGTCTAAAGAGGAACCTGAAGCCAAGCCAAAAGGACATCACATGAGCTGATGGGCAGAGACAGAGACAGGGCCTAGGGGGCTGCGGGGGATGGCCGCCTTTGTCACCTCTTACGTTTTGATGATTCCTTTGAAATGCTATATTTTCTCAGCAAGAAAAATGGGGCAAAACTCTTGATTAAAACGTATATAATCCTGCTAATTTTCGGCACTTATTACTTAGACTTGGATGCTTTATTACAACAAGTGTTTATTCAATCTTCTATGTTGTTTTATGTGTGCATAATACAATTTAAATTATGTAATAAATAAATATAAATATTTTCTAAAATTAAGATAAAGAAATTCAAAATTTATTCTTTAAATAAAAAGATCATGAGTTAAATATTCGAATGCAATAAATATGAGTGTTAACCTTAATCACGATCTAAACATTCATGCATGCATGAAACATTAAATATGGGGCAAGACTATATACATCGAAGTGGTTGCAGTTTAAGAAATTATTAATTGCGGTACACAGTTCTAGTATTATGTACAAGAATATAAATATATGTCTTTAACTTGGATCTCCATCTCATAGGGTGCAAATTAACCAGCAAAGAAGATTCATTATGTGGCTACTCTCAGCATATGTCTTCCTCTCTCTTTCTCAGCTCACTCTTTCCTTGTCATCTGCACGGGCGTCTCTCTGCCATGGAGATGAGCGTCTTGCCTTGTTGCAATTCAAGGAAAGCTTTATCACTTATAAGAATGTTTCTGCTGATCGATGTGTTCTTCCCAAGGTTGATCAATGGGAATTTCAAGGTGCTGATTGCTGCTCTTGGGAAGGCATCGAGTGTGATCACATCACCGGCCATGTCATCAGCCTTAACCTCAGTAAAAGCTGCCTTCATGGCTCTATCAATTCCAGCAGTGGCCTGTTTCGTCTTGTTCATCTTCAAAAGCTGAACCTGGCGTTCAATAACTTTAGTTACTCCGAGATACCATCAGCATTGGGCAATCTTTCGAGGTTAACATATCTGAACCTTTCTTATTCTTTATTTTCTGGTCAGATTCCATTTGCAATTTCAAAGCTTTCCAAGTTATCTACTCTCGACCTGTCTCTTAATTTTGCTGCGGGTAATCCTTACGGAGGATTGTTGGAACTTAAAAGGCCTGATATGAAGAGCTTAGTGCAGAATTTAACCTGCTTGACATACCTTGATCTTTCTTTTGCCACAATTGTAAATTGTTTGGCAAATCCCCAGCGGCTATTTTCCAACTACCCAATCTTGAGCTCCTTGAGGTGTCCAAAAATACGGATCTTGCTGGTTATTTGCCAGAATTTTACCTCAGCAGTCAGCTTAAGGTATTGTCAATTTGGAACACAAGTTTTTCTGGTGAAGTACCTGCCTCAATTGCTAATCTTCATTCCTTGGAATTCCTGGCACTTAGCCTTGCAGGTTTGTAGGATCAGTGCCCCCTTCACTCAGTAATCTCACAAAGCTCACTCATTTAGGCCTTGAAAATAATTCTTTTACAGGTGAGATACCTTCTTTTTTGTCAAACTTCACCAACCTGATTTTTCTCTCACTTG